AAAAAAAAAAAACACAAAAAAACCCCACCTTTCTAAATTTTATAGAAGTCAGTTCAGTTGCTAATCTTTTCTCTATTTCTCTGGCACATAAAGCCATTCATTCACAAGCAAGAAAAAGTCAACTTTTCAGGTAACTACCTCAAGCAACTCAAACAGATAGTTAAGATTCATAGGAATACACAGGAAGGGTCAGGCTTATCGGAAAGACCAAGACAATTTCCTCTGTCTGTTAGTTACTAAAAACAGTTGGCCATCCTCTCACCAGCGGTCCCTGCTGGTCACAGGCCAGCCGCTGATGAGGAATGAGGAGAGGCCTAGCCCCTAGGTGCATATGACCCGAAGGAGAAGCAGCTATACGTCTGCATAAAGACACTTACAGATGGGGGCTGAAGATACGACTCATCTTGGAAACGTGGTCACTTTTACAGTCTAGGTCATCGTCCACTTGCTCCATGCTGAACTTTCTCTTGCTGGGACTGATCGGAGGAGGACCTGTGCGGTGGTTGGTGAAGGCAGAGGTCACAGGGAGGCTCTGCATCCTGGACTCTCCTCTAAGGGCAGCTTCACCTACACAGAGAGAAGACATGACATGATATGACTGTCAGGAAGGAGCAACGCCCCATTCTCAGTCCTGAGGCTCCCAGAAGCTCAGTCCCTTGCAAAACTACTCCCGGTGGAAAGGTTTTAGCAACAGGACAGGCTGCCTGCCATTCTCAGAATGTTGATGGGAGTCCGCAGTCAGCTGCCAAGCACGAGACATTTTACATCAACGTGGGTTTATAGCACAATAACTATTTAGGGTAGAGTTTTTCCAAATGAAAGTTGCAATTAAGGAACAATGGTAGGGTACAAATGCTATAAACAATTTCAAAAGTTAATTTAAAACATGTTTAGTCTTTTGACTAGTAAGCATCCAACTGTATACCTATAACAAATAAATAACTCAGCAGAAAGGTTCTTAAACCACTATGCCAATCACACTATTCCTGTATGTCGCATTTTTATGATATCTGTGGTATGTGATTTTTTAAAAAAATGAGAAAAATGTATGGGTTAAGGGTTCACATGTTTGCCAAAAAGCTTAAAATCAAACCAAACCAAAAATCCAAACCCAAACATCTTAATATGAACAATTCTCTTTTTAAAAGTACACTAAAAATGACACCTTAAAAATATTATGATCACTACTGGTGGGGAAAAAAAATCTCCTGACACAGTATGTCACAAACAGAATCTAGAGATGTCAAGTTTATACAATGTTTGTCCACGTCAAGACAGTCTAAGTGAAACCCAGTCTGACCCGACTTCAACATTTTGGTGTTTTGCATTCCCATTTTAAAGGGATAGGTGCTAAGTGACAAATCTTCCTTACTGAAATTTATAAATAAGAGTAATAATTACTTAAGAGACAAAATGCCACACTTTCTAAACCATATTGGAAGAGACACCTGCTTTTTATGAATAATAGTACTTTTACTGTGCTTCTATTGTTCTCCAAGCCTAAATCTATTCTATATCCACTTAAAAACTGGGAGAAACCACAGGGGAAAGTGAACTTCATCTGGTGCTCCCCAAGAAAAGAAACCCTTTTTTTGCCACCTTCATTTTCCTATCATCACAGACCATGTGGACAGTTTTAATATTTATTTTAGGCACATATGACAAATACAGTTTTTCTTGGGAAAGAAATGAAAGAGGAAAAAAAAGACTTCAGACTGTTTATCAGGAAAAAAGAAAAGGGTTGCCAATTTAGTCAGCAGCATATACAGTAACAATTTAAACTCAAGTCTGGGTTTTTTAAGGGTTCTGCCACCAGAGCAATCTGGAACTTTCCATTTTAAATTGGGGGGAGGGGAACACCAAACCTTACAAACAACATCAACAACCAAAAAACCACAAGTCTCAGAAGCTAGGCTGCTTTACCTCACAAAGTGTGTTTGAGTTAAGCCTACTCCTATTTAAACGGCAAAAAATAAAAAGAAAGCAACGCTAATATTTGTATCTTGGAAAAATTACTCATTTCCAAATAGCTCTCTCTCCCCTTCTCACACTCTCCTCTACAGAGAACAGAATGCCTCCAAGCAAAGCTTCAGCAGTTCAGGCCCAGAAAATTTCTGAGGGGTGCTGATAAGGTCTCCACTAACATCTGCAAACTGAACCTGACTGAAAAGGTGAAATGACTTAGTATGCCCTCCACCCCAGTGTTTCTCAACCTCCTTGGGATAAGAAAACTGAAGAGTTCTCAGCATCAGTGGACTCCTGGGCTTTCGTTTCCAACACACACTGTGGTGAATGCCAAATGTGCAGCAAGAGAATTTGCCATGGAAAGCAACCACCACCACAACACAGCCAAGTCACTCCACATCAGCATAAACACCTAACCATGGAACCAAACTCTTGGATTAAGAAGAGTCCTCCCCTTCACCCCAATTTCCAGCCTAGCATAAATTCCTGGGCTTGTATGCATCTTAAATTCATCAAATTGGTATATTGCTTGTTGTTGAGATAGAATCCTTGTGTCAGCCATAGAAAACACTCGGAGGGAATGCTCTGGAAACAGTGATGATCTCCACACCAGGTCACATGAGCCAGTCTGAGGGCTATGATGTCTGTACCAGGTTCTCCAGAGATACTAGTATATGGCCTACTGGAGCCTATCAGTCTCCATGTGCTGGTGCCAGAAGCGACCTCAAAAACACAAGATCCCTGCATCTGACATGTGAGAAAATGACCTCAGACACAGTCTTGCCTTCCACCACACAGTGAATGGGCTAACCAGACAACAGATCATGCTTTGGTCTACCAGGCCCAGGTCTCTTCTTAAACTCTTACTGGCCTTATGGGTTGGTGCAAAGAAATCAGAGTAGAAGGAAAAAAGTGTACCAGCACGACCAAAAGAGCTCTCTCAGTGTTTCATTCATTTTTAGATGGCTATCGAGGACCCTACTCTAATACCATGCATTTTGAAAGAGGTTGTCTTGTCATTATTGAATTTGTGGCTGGTTATTAGACTCCCCAGCTCCTAAAAAAAAGCCCTGGCACAAATGGCTTCATAGGTAAATTCTATCACACATTCACAAAAGAACTATGGCCAATTCTACAAAGTTGTTGTTGTTGTCATGTGCTGTCGAGTTGTTTGCGACTCATAGCGACCCTATGTACAACAGCCCTAAACCCTGCTCTATCCTGTGCCAATCGCATTGCCTCTGACACACCCATCCCAATTACCCCAGTCATTGAATCGATCCACCTCATAGAGGGTCTTCCCTTCCTGCGCTGCCCCTCTACTCTACTCTACTCTACTCTACCCAGCATGATGTCCCTCTCCAAAGACCTGTCTCTCCTTGGAACATGTCCAAAGTATGTCAGACGAAGCCCCAGAATCTTTGCCTCCTAGGAGTAGCCTGGTTTAACCCTCTTTAGGATGAATCTGTTTGTTTTCTTGGTTACTTTAAAAAAAAAAAGGAAAGAAAGAAAAATAATGAACACTCCCAGAGTTATTCTATGACACAAGCGTAACCCTAACACCAAAACAAGCAAAGATATTATCAAAATAGAAAACTACAGACCAGTATCTCTCATGAAGATAGATGCAAAAATCCTTAATAAAATCCTGGCCAATAGAATCCAGCAGTACATCAAAAAACATAATTCATCATCACCAAGTGGGATTCGTAACAAGCAAGCAAGGATGGATGGTTCAATGTAAGAAAAACAAAGTAATTTGTCATATTAATAAAGCAAAGAACAAGAACACATGATTATGTCAATTGATACAGAAACGGCCTTTGACAAAATCCAACAACCCTTATTGGTTAAAACACTCAGCAAAATAGGAATAGAAGGGAATTTCCTGAACATAGTAAAAAGTACTCATAATCAAGAACCAGCATCATTCTTAATGGACAAAGACTAAAAGCATTTTCCCTTATGAACAGGAACCAGACAACATCCACTGTCACCACCCTTATTTAATACTGTATTGGAAGTACTTGCTAGTGAAATAAAAGAGAAGGAACTAAGAGGCATCCAAATTGGGAAAGAGATGGTAAATCTGTTGCTATATAAAAACGATGATAGTGTTAAGAAAACGCCAAGGACTCAACAATAAAACTCTTAGACCTAGTAAGCCTATTTAGAAGAGGTGTAGGATACAAGATCAATATATAAAACTCAGTGGGATTCCTCTACAGTAACAAAGGTGACACAGAAAAGGAAACTTACGAAATAGTATCCAAAACGGGTGACCCTGGAGGACATTATGCTGAGTGAAATATCTCAGTCACAAAAGGACAAATACTGCATACTGCATAGCCACTGTTGTAAAATGGAACTGACATCAGGATTGGGGAGAGACTGAGAAAGAGGAGATAAATTATGTATACTGCATTGAAACAGATGAGAGAGAGAACTGTTTAAAAGGGATATATGATTAGGTATTAGTGTCATGAAAGGAGTCCAGAATGAAGGCTGCATAGTGGAGTGGACTTGGGGCAGAGGGTTTGTATAAAAATGAAAGAATTTTTCATTTACTTTTCAAAGAGAAGAGTAAACTGGGGGAAGGGGGGGCGCCGCACCAGGGAGAAAAGTGCAACAATGAATGAATAGCAATCCAAAGTCTCTGTAAACGTTCATTAAAATTTATTTTTTAAAAAAGTGAAAAAGGAAAAGAAAAAAAGGAAGGAGCAAGAGAGTACACTGTAGATTCATTTGGGTCAGAAGTCCCTGAACAAGATAAGAAGATGGGGAGATCTACACCTTACACCAGTATACTGCAATACTGTATACACCAATATACTGCAGCAGTAGAGTGACCAAGAATCAAAGACCAATGTGAGACATAGAAGAACTGGAACTGCTGTCAAGGGCCTTTGCACAAGTTTACTACTGGAGTACTAGGGGAGGGAGACAACGCTGTAACTGACAAGCCTGACAAAAGCTTTTAAACACTGCCCAAAGCTGTGAGACTCAAGGTAAGTGAGCCTCCAAGCACACCTGAGAGAAGCTGTAGTGACCAGAGAATTGTAGCCTGTTTCCTACTTGAATTGTAGTAACCTGTTAACTTCCTTTTTAAAAAAGTTAACTTCTGAGTACTTTCTGTTAGTTCCATGAGGCCATCGCACTAAATGAGTAGACACAGCAGTTAAGACAGCAAGAACCCTACCTGGGTGGGATGGTGGAGCATTCAACAGGGTGTGGGCATATTAGACCTGTGAAAACTTGCACTGTGCAATGGATATTGTTGATGGAGGCTGTTCTCCCTGTGGAGTTAATGGAGATTAGACTCAGCTAGTTGTCCCACAACAGTTAAGACTATCTGTACACTGTCAAACCCATAATACCAAACCCAGTACAAAAGTCAATTCCAATTCATGGTGACCCTACAGGACAGAGGAGAATTGTCCCCTAGGATTTCTAAGGCCATGAAGCCTATGCAAACAGACTACCCTATCTTTCTTCACAGAGAAACTGATGAATTTGAAGTGATAACCTTTTGGTTAGCAACAGAATACTTTTAGCCAATAACCACCAAGACTTGTGACCACAAGGGAAAGGAGATCAATGCT